TGCACCGAAGTGAATGGGACCACCTTGTTTTGTCATCAGAGGCTTTTCTTGGTCCAAGTCACTTGGTCAACCAGAGTAGGGCTTCAGGAGGTAGCTGGCATGGAGGCAGGGTCTCAGGAAGCTGAGGTTCCTGGTTCAGGGAAGAGACCTGTGGCTGCTTCCCTGGGGCCTCCAGCCTGACTGGACTTAGTGAGAGGGAAGGTCCCTCAAGGAGAAAGCCACAGAGCTGAGTGGGTTTAAGGCCATCAGGTATCGTGAGCCATGAGACATGGCTGCAGGGACCCAGGATGTTCCCTCCTGGTCCCAGTATATGACTCCAGGACACCTCTAACCAGGGCACCAAGGTCACTCACACAACATCAAGGTCGGGGTCTATTAAGTAGAAATGACAGGTTGTCCAGTCCATGTGCTTGGTCCTCACAGAGGCCTTTCCCAGGAGGGGCAGAAGCTGCCACTGAGATAAGATGCGGTTCATTCCATTCTCTGCTCTGCCAGCTCTCCTCCCTGAGCCTGAGTTTCCCACTTGGCAGGAAGCTGGCCTGCCAGGTGACTCCCCACCTCAGTGCCAAATGCTCCACCAAAGCTGAGTGGACACTGAGCATGCATAGCTCTGACCTTCTGCCAGAGCCTCCTGCCAGACCATCTGTTGGGCTTTGGGGGAATCCTGGGCTTTGAACCAGCAGGATCAGGTCAGCAGGGGTTGCCGTCCATGAAACAGGCATCTCAGTGTCCACTCCTCATGTTGACATTTTGCATAAATGGGGTTTCTGAGCTCATTGTCATGAATCAACTCACAGGACAGCAGGGTTGGCACAGCTGCCTTCTGAGGATGGCTGAGAGCTCCACTTGGCTCCTGTGCCCAGTCTTGAGGTCATGTTACCTTTTCTTTTCCCCAGAAGCCTCAGTACTGGTCTTCTGGATTCTGCTGGTTGGGTGAGGTGTACCTTATGATGAGCTCTGCTTCAAGCCTATCTCATCAACAACAGTGGACCATTGCTCCAGGCTGAGGTTTTGAGACAAGAATCAGATGCTATGCCTAGGCTGGCGTTAGAGTAGTTAGGATAGATTCTTTCCCCCAGCTAACCTCAGGGCTCAGTTTCTCTAGGTAGAGCAAAGACTAGACCCTGGCCTCCATATAGTCACACTAAGCAGACTGTCTGCTGTCCAGTGGCTTCTGTGGGGCCACTACTACTACTGAGATGTCCCCCTGAGGCTTTACAGAGTAGCTCTGGGGAACTGGGTGGTCTGTAGCTCAATTGCTCCCTGGGCCTGATCTGGGTTCTTGTGGCTGTCCCTCCTCTGAGTAACCCATGGCAGGCTGCTACTGTTTGGTGACCCTGTTTTCTCTCACTGGTGCCCTCTGCTGTCAGCATATCTGAGTGTCACTTTAACTCCTGCATAGGTAAAATTCCAGGGCCTGTGACCAATGAAGTCCTTCTGGAGTGTGGGGGTTCCAGCAGGAAGCAGATCTGCTTTGAGGGTGCAGGTTAGGAGATCCACTCACCCAGCCTGGCCTAACAGAGTCCAGTGATCCACACTAGCCCATGTCCTCTTCATCAGTCTCCATTCCTGGGAAGCCCTCCACCACTGCGCCTTACAGGGGGGCAGGGGAAGGGGCAGAGGCCTGCCCTGCCTACTTGGAAACATTGCCTGTTGCAGGTCTGTGATCCTTCCACATAGAGGGGACGTTAGGGACCACCCCACACCACCTTGGCCACCCCACACTGCACTTGTCCAGCTGATCAAAAGGTGACAGTGCCCAAGCCCTACAGAGAAAACTGTGGCTGCCTGCTCTGAAGGGAGAGGTAGATCACCCCTGGCCATCTCGTCAATTCTCTGGCCTTTGATCACCTTCACATACAAAACTCAGCTCTCCCTCTCAGGTCACCTTATTGGAGGTTTGTACCAGATAAGACAGCGGGACCTGAACAAGCTTCTGCCAGAGATGCTTCACAAGCCCTTGGTGATATCTTGTAGAGAGAGACTCTGGGGTCCCAGAGCCCAGGGCTGTTAATGCGACTATTAGAATATTCATGGTGTGGCTGGGACTGGGTACCTTGGAACAAGGGGGTTGATCTGATGACAGCCCCTCTTTACTGAGCACAGATAGTTGCCGAGCAGCCTTGATGTGTTTCCACTCCCCTGTGGGGAAACTGAGGCTCAGAAATTGCACAATAGCTTAGTGGATAGGGATTCCTTAAAACCCCTGGAATGGAGCCCAGAAGATGGCAAGAAAGACTTGAGCTTGATGTAATGAGGGAATTTTCCAAATAGGGCTGAACTATGAGAACGTAGACATACGCAGGTATCTGTCTGGTTGTGGGGATGCATCAACCCGGTGAACTACCTGCTACTCCTGAGTAGGCAGTGCCCACTTTCCTCCAGGGAGGCCGGATCTAGATGAGCCCGCTGGGCCAGAGCAGTCCTGTGTAGAGACATCTCTACGAAACACAGACCGTGTCTGAAGGGGGAGCATGTGTACAGGTGCATGTGACCCCACTTCATGCTGGAGTACCATGAGCGTCTTGACAAGCATGTGCCATGCAAGCCTGTCCCTACCACCCATTCTAAATATAGTCTGTAAAGCATCTTATCATGGGGCCTAGGGGAGCAAAGCTGGGTGTGGACATTGGCCCAGGGACAGGACACTCTAGTACTGCCTGGCTCTGGCTTCCTCAGGTCCCTAGAAGAGTGGCATGCCTCCATACTCACAGGCCACTGGTTCTCTCCTGAGCTCTGGGCTCTGGGGCCATAGGATAGAACACTGCCTTCCACCAGGCCTACTGGCTGCCTTTGCCTTCCCCATCCCTGGTTCCTGGCTTCCCCTTGGGGGTGTGGCTTCCCTGGAGGCTTTGAGATGGGTGGGTGGAGGCCTATGCTATGTGCCCTGTTCTCACTGAATGCTGAGTGCTGTGGGACTTTGGGAAGGGTACAAACCCTCTCTGATCTTCCCTTTTCAATCCTTCAAATAAAGGACAGACCACCTTTAGGCAGCTACTGAGTTGACAGGAAAACATGGGTTCCTGATTGGCCCATTTTCACCTTCCCGTATCTGAGGTCCCTGGTTGGTGTCCTGTGGGGGCCACTGTGGCCTGCACACTTGCCCGTCAGAGGACCCGGATCTGTTGTGCACTGTTGGCCAACTGAATTCTTGAGTCTTGGCTCCACACAGTGACATCCGGCTGCAGTAGCCCCAGGGGCTCTTGCCAGTCTGAGAGCCAGCTGCTCCAGGGCAGATGCTATGGTTTATGTTCCCATAGGAATCATGTATGTCTGATCAAGCAGTGGATCCCACCAGGCTGCAGATCTTCAGACATACACTCTCCACCAGACTTGCTCTGAGATAGAGGTCAATGTACTGCCCACCACAGGCCCTCCAAGCCTCAGATACAGCCACTAGCCCAGAGGGGCTGCAGGGCTCCCTCCAACCTTGACCAGTGTTCCAGCCTCCCTGCTATGATCATATTATCTGAGCACACCTCCCCCAACCCCCATCCTATCCCTCTAGTGCTCCAAAAGGTTTGTGTGTGTGTGTGTGTGTGTGTGTGTGTGTGTGTGTGTGTGTGTGTGTGTGTGTACCTCAATAGTCCCTCTTCAGTTTTCAATCTTGATTTTTGAGACAGGGTCTTTTTGTTGGCCCAAGATTTGCTGATTAGGCTAAACTAGCTGACCACTGGTCCCCAGGGACCTGCCTATCTCTGCCTCCCCAATGCTGGGATTACAGACACATGTCACCATGCCCAGCTTTTTTAACTTGGGTTCTGAGGGTCAGACTAAGGTCATCATGCTGTGGGCCAAGTACTTTACTGATCTCCACAGCCTCCAAACATGGTTTCAAATGATAGTGCATATGATTGGTTAACCTTTCACCAAGGATGGTCTTCATCTATCAGCATGGTAACCCAGGAAAGAAGGACCAAGATGCTCCCTGAGAGGCTTATTGGTGACAGCAGGGTGACACTCTTGACTATTCTTGGGGGACGCTGCTGAAGTAAGTTTAGGATTCTGAGTGCTGGGGTAAATGAAGAGGCAAGCTGTGGACATGTGATATCAAGGTAGGACCTAGGCTTGGGGGTGCTGCCTTTCTTGCCATGTGGCTTGGGATGGTCAAGCTTCTGTGAGTCCCACATGGTGGTGCTACTGGAAGGAGAGGTCCAATGTCAGGTGTTGCTCTGGGTGCTGGGAGGACACTGGGTCCTGGGCAGGGACTCCAAAATGGAAACCATGTGTTCTTGTTGCTAGTTAGCATAGCTGAATGGAGGGTGGCTCTGAAGTTCCATTGACTCTCATTGGTAGCCTGGTGGTCTCTACTTCTACAGCCCTCAGAGGGGCAAATGTGGGACACCTGAACAATCAGGCTCTGTGCTTAGCCATGTGTATGACACTGTTCTGCTGTCATCCTTACACCTGCCAACTGCAGACAGCCACCAAAGGACACTCATCTGCTCATGATCTGTGCTGCCGGCTTGGCCAGCAGCAGGTGTAGGCTCAGCCCTATGTCTTGCACTGACCCAATTCAGAGACTGTAAAGGGCTTGGCTGAGCTGGAAAGGCAGAGCAGGCAGATGACTGGGCTCCCATGGAAGAGGGCCTGAGACTTCCTCTCAGCTTAACAGTTGCCCAGTCAGTCAGCAAACTCCAAACACATACTGTCCTTGACCTGGTGCTGGACTTTCTGAAGGAGTGCCAGTCAATGGGCCCATGCTGGGCACTAAGGGCTTCTCTACTGGTAAAGGAGGTTTTCCAGCGACCATTGGACTGAAGGGTGCCAAACCCAGATACCTGGGAAGGAGGGCCATTCATTTTTCAGGACTCCAAGATGCCTGAGGATGCTAGTTGGGGCACAGGGTGCACTGAGGTGTGCTGGGGGTGCCTACCCCATGGCCTTGGAGGAAGTGCGTGGGCAGAGGGCTTCAGGGCTCTGCAGAGTCAGGTGGATGTTCTAATCTTCTGGGGTTTCTGGACCAGATCCCAGGGAGAGTGTCAGCTGGTGCTGGGGAGGCAAGGCACACCTCAGTGCTGGGGTGCGGTTAATACCCTGAAGGATCTGCACTTGCCAGATCAGCACACTTAGGGGCTCCTGAGACAATGGGCTGGAAATCTTACCTCCCAGCTGGTAAGGTCACGGTCACCACAGATGATATTTCCTACCAGAACCTTTCAATGAAATGAATTATGTCCTGAGCCAGGCATAGAAAGGTCTAGAGCCAGTGTGATCTCAGGGAGTAGGCAGTGATTGGCCCAGAAGAATCTCAGGCCTGGGAGCCCTGTCTATAGGCCTTTGCACCAGACTGAGACCAGGGCCCTCTGTGGGGCAGGTAGGATCTAACCTTATAGAGGGCTGAAGTATGGGGGCTGCTCAGCTGGTCTCTGGGGCTCCCCCAGCTTTATAGCATCTCCCATCCACAGCTTGCAGACATTGTGTGGCCCAACACAGGTATGAATGTGGTCTCACACAAAATGATGAACTTATTTAAAACCTTATAAGATTTCTTTTGCTCATCAACCCCACAGTTCCCCTGTGTAGACTTTGTAGATAACAGTATCATGCCATAATGTCAAAAGGTATACTGTGGCACCAGTATACTCTTTGGCCCAACTGATTTTGATGTTGATCAAGATTTCATGACCTTCTGCAAATCACTGTTGATGGGTGTCTTGATGTAGGTTAGATGATGATCCTAAAGCCCCCTCCCTCAAAGCTGTGGTGTGACCTCATATAGAAAAAGCTCTTGCCACTGAGGATGTAAGAGGGAGGCCACCATCATGGGATGTCTGGCACACCCCAAGCCAAGGTCAACTGTCTTTCCAGAAGGTGCCCGAAGGGATCTGAGAAAAAAAGGGTGGCCATTCAGATAGAGGAGGTGGGGTAGCCCAGAACAGCATGTAGAATGAGGTGGCTCTCCCATTCTGAGCATTGTGGCCTGAGTAACCAGGCTGCGCTTACTGTCCATGTGGCCCTGTATGTGTCCTATACAGTGTTGGACTCTTAGTCTCCCCACAGGTGGCTGTCCCTTGTTATCCCTAATCCAGGGACTTCTGAAGGTGCACAGATGGCCTAAGCCTGAGACCAGCCATCACTTACCCATGACTCCTCACTCTGGGACTCCTACTCAGGGCTTAGATAAGGGAAATTATGCCCAGCCTCTGGCACATATTGGGCCTTTCAGCATGCATTGAGATATGTTCCTTCAGGAGGTGGCCTGACCCAGGCTTTATCTCAACAGCATGTGAGAGGAGCTGTCATGAGCAAATGGCAGCCTTGAAGTCTTCCAAACCCTGCCAACTCTATCCAACTGGCCTTTGCTGTGGTACCATCCTATGTGCTGATCCTTCCTGGATAACCCTAAACCTGCTGCCCCCTCTAGAAGTCCAGTATCCTGGGGCATGTCTGCATCCAACCTGAAGTCAGGGAACTGGGAGTCCAGGTGATGATGAGGGTGGGTGGTGGGCAGTGAGTGAGTAGGGTACCCCACTAGGCTTCCCTTCCCAGGCAGCATATGTGAGGGGTAGAGTGGAATCTTTCCAAGTAACTCACTGGGGAACAATAGCATACTCCCCTAGACATGACTTTGAGGCTCACACATCAGAATTTAGTCTCTGGGTTGTTATGCATACAAAGGCTCATGGTACCTTAGGTTTTTACTTGAGCCCAAGAAGCCCATTGAACATTTATTGATCTGTGGGGAGCTGTCCCCACGGGGCCTTTGAATGTTGATAGCTTCAATTACAGCCCATGGCCTGTGTGTTTGGTCAGCTCACGGTCTACTGTCAAAGCCATTTGCTTGGTTTTCTTTCTTTTAATTTGTACGTACATGTGTGCATGCATGCATGGGTGCACCCATAGAGGCCAAACAAGGATATCTCATCCCCTGAAGCAGGAGTTAAAGGCAGTTGTGAGTCACCCAACATGGGTGTTGGGATCTGAAACTCTGGTCCTCTGGAAGAGCAGCAAGTGCTTTTATCCATGGAGCCATCTCTGCAGCCCCTGGTTTTCTTTCTTAAATCTGCTTTAGTCATGGTGAAACGCAGGTGCTGACCATGTCTGTGTGCTTATGTCAGAAGTGTGAAGCTCACTCACCTCCAGAACTTTCTATCTTTTTAGACTGAAACTGTTCCCAGCCTTCTGTCTCTGCAGACCTGGTAACTCTGGGGGCCTCTGAAGAGAATCTTCCTGAAGTGTGTGTCCTCTCATCCCTGGCTTATCTCAGCAAGTGTCCTCAAGGTCCACCCATGCCTAGTGATCTTTTGTGTATGACATTTGCACCCCCACCCCCACCCCCGCGCAAATAACAATACTTTCAGGGCACTTCACACTATTATCACGTATGCAGATATAATAGCTCAACGTCTCCTGAGATGATTCAGTGTTGCATTTTAGGTCCTGGGAATTGATGGTGGTTAGGCTGAAGGTCAATTTCTCTGGAACAAATTCTGTGCCATTTGCATGTATAGAGCATAATCCTTCTCAATGGGATGATGAGGTGCTCAATATCAGATCTATGTCTGAATGGGTCTGGTGGCCAGGGTTCTAGGCCCAGCCCTGGCCTCTCCTGGATCAGCTACTAGTCAGGGGCCTGGTATATATGGAGGCGATCTCCAAGTCATAGTCCCAATTTGCCATAGCTGGCCTATGCATGTCCCCATCACTGTTCCCTGTACCCCTATGCCTCCTTCTGGGGCAGCCACGTGGTTCTGGCTTGATGCCACATTCTGTGTTCCCAGGGCACCTGGGCATAGAGATATTGAAGTGATGTCCGATAAGGCATTGGACGTCCCTCAGGGCTGGGTGGCGGTCACAGCCAATGAGTTTGATTTAGAGCAAGTGGAGAAAGCAGGCTATTGTTCCTGAGAACCTCCTGTTTCATACCCTGCACAGTGAACTCTCTTCAGAACATGCTAGTTTGTGTCTAGGGACACAGGCATTTTCCTGGGCCTTAGTTTGCCTTGCTTCTGGTGGGGGAAGTAGAGAGGGCATCTTACGGTGGCCTGACCTAGGGTATGCAGGTAAGGTGAAGCGATGCTGATTGCTCTATAGAGGCAGGAAGGGGGTGGGCAGCTGGCCTTTGAGCTCCCCAAAGGCAGAGACCCTTAGTGCGGCCTCTCTGAAGCTCCCAGCCCCACCCAGGCCAGGAACAGATAAAGTAGCAAATAAGATAATACTCATTTTATCGGGAGTAGATAAAGAATAAACTATGCTGTATAACCCTTTCTCGGGCAGCACAGTGTGTTTAAATATTTGAAGAACTGTTTAGTTTTCGGAATACTTGAAGCTAAAAGGCAGCCAGCACGTGGGGGCAGATTGCCACCATTGTCCCCAACCTCAAGGTTCCTGGGCAGGTCAGCAGGGGCTAGCTGTGGTGAGTGCGTTGCCTAGCTCCTGCCACCTTCCTGGTCACTAGGTGGTTTTCTGTCTGCACTGAGAACTTAGCTATTCTGCACATCCACCCCAGGATTGGTCTGTGTGTCCAAGGCCTTCCCTGCTGCCAGTGGGGGCAGTCAGAGAGTAGGGGGCCTTCCACACAGCCTTGTTTGGATACCTCCTTCCAGGCTGTTGGAATTTCTACCCACAGGCTGCAGCTGTTGCCCTCCTGAGGCCCTGAGCCTCCTGCAGATGTGGACAGAGTGGCCTGTAGCAGCCATTCCTCCTCTTGTGGCCTATGGGAAGGTCTTTGATCCCTTGCTACACCTCTCTGATCCTCGGGTTCTGTAGCTATTGTATTCCATTTTGGAGCCAAGGCTACCTTACAGGGCTTGAAAGGCTAAGTTGTCACCCCGACAGTGAAAGAATCGAAATCCCATTAGGAGATATGTCATTGTCACCTCATGGTTCAGCCTGAGTGACCTAAGGAACCCCAGGAACCTCAGTGTCCCCTCTGAAATAGCAGCTGGATTCCAGCACGGTAACACTGTGACCTGTCAGATTCCTATGGGACCGGTGTTACTCACTGTCAAGCCCTGGCCAGGTGAAAAGTGAGTGGACCTGGCCGCATAGTGCCCTGAAAGGATTCCTTGACATTGGACCTTAAGGTGCTCCCGGGGTAGCAGGAGGTTTTCATCATGTGTGGTGACACCAGGAGTTTGGAGGCTTCTCAAAGACCTTGGGATAGTCACCACCTCACTTCTAGGTGGTGAGCCCCTGAGGGGTGTGCACTGTGCTGTAACCTGTAGCTCCATGAGAGGGCGTCTCTAAGCTCCTACCGTGCCAATGGGGAATCTGAAACGGGGGCCACTTGACTGTTGAGGGGCAGCCAGAAGGGGCTGCGTCTCTTCATGCTGGTCCTTCTCTGGCTCCATGTGTAACCAATGGTCTGGGGTGGGGCGTCTGTTCTACTTTCTATTATCCAGGGATGGACCCAACCCTACTTCCCTGCCGGCTGCAAGTCAAAACAGCACACACCCAGGATTAGTAAGGTCCCACTGTGTGAAGAGTCAGCCTGAGGAGAGAGCAGAGCCTAGCCAGAGAGGAACTGAGTCCCAAAAGGCCTTAAGGGCCTCAGAAAGCAGATAGGGATCCATGACTGAGAACCAGACCTCTCCAGCAGGCCTGAATGGAGGCCTAACCTGTGGGTGGGTGGCGGAAGGGTGCTCACCTCACCCCGTGTTTGCTGTGTCCACACAAGAGCCAAGGCTTCTCGATGACCCATGTGGCTGGTTCACCACACAGGGGCTTCCATGGACCAATGCCGTACAGCATGACAATCAGCGTAGTTACCACTGGCCACGGGAAATACCACTAGGGAGTCCAGGAGGACCTGGGTGTGCTGTCATGTTGCTCTGGGAGGGTCCTCAGGACTGAGGCAATGTGGAGAGTGGATGTGAGGAAACAATCCCTGGTAGCAGCATTGGGTGCCAAGGTTAGAGGCTGGCTACCGCCAGAGCTCTAGGCCTGTGAGGAAAGCATGGCGGGAGAGAAGGCCTCAATCTGGGGAGTGACGAGGGCTGAAGCCTACCCAGGGGTTCTTCTGGGGCCAAATCAGACGTGTGCTCCCGGTGAGCATCCTGGTGTGGATGGTGGCCAGGGATCAGTGCCAACTGGGGCTATTGCCTACCGTGACATGAGGTTAGCAGAGGTGTGGTGAGAGGGGCAGAAGCTAGGGAGTAGATGGAGGTGTGTATGTGTTGGGGACCTGAGATCTCTGTACACCAGGCTCTCTGCTGGGCACCTGTTCCAGAGATGCTCACTAGCTGGGGGTGACTGCAGGCACTAGGAGTTGGTAGAGATACGTGGCCGTAAGTGTTGTGACTGAGGTGGCATGGGGGACTGAGTAGGCACTGGAGCCGCCTCTTTGCATATGAGAAGGGACCACTTTGTAGGAGCCTGAGTCTCTGTCTCCAGGCAGGGCAGTGACAGGAGGTCCTCAAGACCAGGAAGGAGGGACGGGGAGCCAGGACTGGGTCCACTGCTGTATCACACTAGGGATGATGATGTGGGGGAGCTGAAGGTGGAGTGGGCACCTGGGCTGGGGTAAGGAGGAGGCTGGGATGTGCTTTGCATGGGCGAGCAAGTGGCCATGACAAATGAAGTGTCTGTCATGGGGGAGGCATGGTAAGCTGTGACTTCAGACTTTGACCTGGCAGCGCAGGTAGCAGAAGGGGGCAATGGGGAGTGATGGGGCTTTTAGCTCTGTCGGTCCTCCAGGCCTCTAGCGGTAGCTGCAAAGGCCAGGAATGGATGGAATCAGTCTTGAGAGGTACGGGAGACCCGAGTTGTGCCTCCCCCAGGAAAATCTGTGGCTGAGTCAGGCCACTGCCACTGCATGGCTTCTAGGAGGTTGAGGCTGGTGATCTGGGCCTTATAAATTGGGGAAACCAGATATGGGATTGGTGGAAGGTGTGTGAGTTCCTTGATGTGAGCAGGAGTCTGTGCTGGGGCCCTGATGTCTTTCTGTATGGCTTCTTTGTCTGCCCCTCTTATGGCCCTGGGACAGTGTGCCAGCTCCCCCACTTCCATTCTGATCCCCAAGAACCTGCCAAAAGGGCATGCAGAGTCTTTGAAGCACCACCCTCCCAAGCACCTCCCTATTTGCTACCCTGGGGGCAACTTTGAAGGCTACCTTGGGTGGTGATACCCAGGGATGGAGAGCTCAGTGGAGGCGAGACTCATTTCAGTGCTCTTGGAATCAGAGCAGGTGGTGACTGTGCCCTCTGTGTGCTAGCTGTGCCTTCTGGGTGCCCTCGAGGTACAGGTCCTGGCTGTGCTTGACCCTTCTTTCTTGGTGTCTCCCCATTAGCTGAGGGGCTGTACCCTCCTGCACTCCTGGGCATGGAGGCCCCCAGTTTGTAAAAATGGCTTTTTGGGCTTCAGTTGTACACCAAGGCTCTTGCACATTCTGAGGTTGGACTATTGAGTCTCCGAGGAGACACTGACCTGTGTGACATTCCTGTGGATTGGCTGCTGGACCAGAGCAGTCAGGTGACAGATGATCTTGGGATGGGGATGGGGTGGCCACATAGTGGTCCATGTACATTGAGACATTGAGACACCAGTTTGGGGTCCATCCTCATGATGGTAAATGGTTTCCATCCTAGGGACCCCATGTCTGAGTGCACTAGCTGAGGGATACTTGGGGTTGCCAGCACTAAAGACCTTGCGTGTGGGGTGTCGGGAAGGAGGGCGGCAGTGGGGGCAGCTGGACCAGGCACTGACCATATGCCCCTGTTTCACAGCTTCCTCATCGTCCTGGTCTGCCTCATCTTCAGTGTCCTGTCCACTATTGAACAGTATGCTGCTCTGGCCACCGGGACCCTCTTCTGGATGGTATGTAGGCACCCAGGGACATCACTTAATGTCATCACTACAAGTGGAAGAGGTGAAGGAGGGCTGGATAGAGTAGTCATCCCTGGTCTCCACTACCCTGGTACTGGGATGTCAGAGAGGGCAAATCCCCTGCATCCATGCCTGCCAGGACTCTGGGCTGTGTGTTGAAGGGCAGGAAGATCATAAGGGGCCTGGAGCTGATACTCAGAAAGGAATTTGTATGGAGAACTTTCAAACTGGGCCCAGAAGGAAGGCAGGATGGCATGGGCACAATGGCACTGAGGGGTGGGGGGCATTGCCTAGGGCTGGGTGATTCCTGTGTGTGCTACTACTGACTCATGAGTACTGCAGGTGTCCTAGCCCAGACTCTCTCCCAGTCATCAGGGTGGACCTTACAGCAGCCCAGGAGACTTTCATGCATCATTTCTGGCAGGATCGCCATGGCAGTCCTAGTGGGCACCACAACTACCTTGATACACAGCTCAGGTCCCCCTCTCTGCAGACCAGGCCTGGGACATCTCTCCCATGTTCCCTGTCCCAGCATAGAGTAACATGTGGAAAGTTTGAGGAATGGAATTCCCAAATGCCAGGGTCCAGCCACATTCTATGAAGGGCTTGAGGACTGTCCTGTGTGACCCACATACTGTGAGACACTTGGGAGACTGTCTTTTATGATGATCCCATACTCTGTGAAGGACTTGGGAACTGTCCTGTGTGGCCCTACGCTCTGAGGAGCCAACTGTGCCTTCAGGGTACTGTGTGGTGTGTGAACCCACATGCTTTAGGGACTGAGGGACTGTTTATCTGGCAGCTGTGAGCCCTGAAACAGGGCCAGGGTTGGATATTGCAACTGAGGCAGACCCTGTTCTGGAAGGGCTGTCCAGAGCCTGGAGCCAGTTGCCGTGAGAGTAGAGTACCCCATGCATCACCATTCACTGTTGGGCCAGACATGGGGCCATGTGGACTTTAGAAACGGTGCTGATGCTGCCCGCCATGAGGCTGCTGGGAAGGCGGGTGCAGGCCAGCATGGCTGGGACTATGGGGGAAAGATGGTGACTGGAGCAGACTAATGACCTTCTGCTGGGGTACATTTGTGTTTTCCTCTTGTGATGGGATGTTCCCGATGCTCACAGGGAGCAAGGACCACAATTAGCTGTCCTTCAACTTAGGTGTTTCTCAGTTATGTCTATATAGCCTCTGTCAGCTGGGAAGCTTGTCTTGCTAGGTCTTGAATCACAGTAATTGGTCACTCAGTGGCACACGTTTTTCATGTGTCAACTTTGTCTTTCCTCTATTGCTTCTAGATTTTGAGCCGCAGGGAATATCCCTTCCCTGGGTCATAGAGGTCTCTGGTTCTGGCCTGAATGTGATGTCTTCTTCCTCTGGTTTGCGCAGTCATGTGTGATACTGCCGATGGCTTTGGGAGTCTCCACGAGAGTGTGAGGCAGGCACTGTTCCGTCCCATCTCTAGCTTCCCAGTGCAGAATGCCACTCACCCCAAAGCCCCCCATCTCCCCTCACCGTAGGATGTGTGTCTTCACTGTGGACCAAATCAGACATGGGCCTTGCCTGGAAGTACCCAGTTCTCCTCCACAGGCCACTGGAGGGTTCATCTGGCCAGGCTCCTGCACCCTCAGGGGCCCCTGGCAACTTCCTTGTCCCCACTCCCGGCCTGACCCAGGACAAAGCACCCAACCCAGGACACACCTCGTGTTAACTATGTTGGGGATAGCCACATGGCTGTGGTGCCAGGCAGTGGTGTGCCTGCCTCTGTGGGAGTCACTGTGGTTTTGCATGTGGTTTTGGCAGCTGGTAACATGGACAAGCTGTGATTGGGAGTTGTAGTCACTAGAGGGTGACTTCTCTTCTGATATTTTCTGAGACCTTTCACTGTGGTGAAAGGCTATGCTGCCCCTGCACTTCACAATGGTGCCTGTGCCTATGAACACTGAGCTTCAAGTGTGGGTCGGTTCCTTGGGCTTTTCCAAAGCAACATCTAGCCAGTGTGCCTACTCTTTAGTTGGTTCCATGTGGCTGGCTAGATGCTATCAAATCTTAGCTGGCATCTCTCTTGATGTGTTGGCCGGCCAGAGACATCTTGGGTGATGTCTCTCAGTCCCAGAATATAATCTTTCATGACCTGTCCAATGGAGCTTTTCTATTTTGTTGGGGACTTGTGCATGATGCTTGCATCCTTCCACAGGGTGAGAGGGCCTTAGTCTTATGTGTGATGATATTCCTATAGGTTCTTCTCAGGATTGTTCCCTTGCCCACTATAGAACTGGCTGTCACACAGGCAAGGTCTAGTGTCTGGCTGTGTTCTGAGAGGACACAGCATCTGGTTGCTGCTGAGGGGAATGGCCCAGGTTCCTCCCCAAGGAGCTAGGGTTCTGGAATCCCTGGCTTGGGACTTGGTCTGGAGAGCCTGGGCCAATGGTTCCTGCTAGTTCTTGTGTTGAGCAGGGCCTGACGGTCAGAACACTCCCCTGGAAGTTCTGTAAGCATGCATCTGTATATGCATTCATGAGAATGTGTTCACACAAGCATGTACCCATGTATTCAAAGGGACGCATTTCTATATACAGCTGTGTCTTTAAGCAAGTGTGTGTTTGGTCTGAGCATGTGTGTGAGTGTGAGTGGACATTTACATGTGTTTGATTTCCTGTATACCTGTGCACTTGTGTGTAAACTTGTGTGTATCTGCATATGCAACTATGTTCATGCCTATGTGTAAACAGTGTTTTTATATGTAACTGTATGTTCGTGGGTCAATATGTGTTCTCGTGTGTGGGGGCCTATGAATGCGCCTGCTCCTTTCCTCATGTGGTAGCTCCAGACTTGGGGTGGTTGCTGCCCTCCCCCATGCCCCATCCACATTAACTTCTGGCTTAGGCTCCCTCTCCTGGTGGCCTCTGCTGCCTCCCTCAGGCCAGGCTCTTTCTGGGGCCTCTGTGCCATCTGGTGGCTACTCTTGGAATTATGCACATAGATCCTACTGCCCCAAAGCCAAGGCGGGTGTGGGTGGGACCTTGTGATATCCACTCCCCCTACCCCTTCCCTCTGTGTGAGCAGGTCTCCACTCCCAAGGCAGCCCCTCCCAAGTCTGTTCTGCTTCCCAGAAGTGGCTCTTTGTCCACCGCGGTGAGGGCAGTGACCTCATTACCTCCTTTGTCCCTTTCCCGTTCCCTGGACCCTTCCTGCCTCACAACAGCTAGAGAGAGACTTTATAGGACAAAACCCTGAGCGTCCCAGATGTTCCCTGGGTGGTTTGGGATAATTTCCAACTTCTCTTTCATGGTCCTCAGAGTGCTACACATTTAAGTCCCCCCCCCCAAATCTCCACTCCTCTCCTCCCTCCTCATCACTCACTCCCAACTGCCTCAGGGCCTTTGAACAGGCGCTGTGCCCAACAGAGTTGCTTCTCTGCTATTAGGACTGATCTCTGGTCAGCTCTGCATACTCCCTTCTGGAATACTGCTCTTTTCTGGGCAACCTGGGTGTGGTGGGGTTCTGTGAGTAGGCTCACGTCTCTCTTACATCTTTCCACTGTGCCAAGGGAAGCTTAACACTCCAGCTGCTCAAAATTGCATATCTAAAATAGGATACACAACCTCCTTCTTTTTAAGTCTTGTTCCCAGGCATGCCCCATAAGGACACCCCTGAGCCTCAGTTTCCCCATCTGTAAAGTGTAGGGAGGAGAATCAGCCTCAGCCTTGGCCTTTCCACTGGCTTTTCCACATTCTTTGTGTGTGTGTGTGTGTGTGTGTGTGTGTGTGTGTGTGTGTGTATGTATGTGTATATACAGTGCCCACAGAAAACAGAAGAGGGTGTGGCATATCCCCTGGAGCTGGGTTTACGGATGATTGTGAGCTGCCCAACATGAATACCTAACCAAACTTGGAACCTCTGCCAGAGCAGCAAGGGCTTTTAACTGCTGATCCATCGCTCTGTCCCCCACTTTGCCACGGAGCTGTGTCCTCCCTTGCTGGCCTTTGAAGGCCATACCTTCCAGGGTTTGAACTGGCTGTGTCTAGAGGCTTACTTCAGACTCATGACCACAGATGGTGCTGGGGACAGTAAGGACGAGGAGGGCGTGTGTCCAGACATACGGACAAGGAGAGAAGTGTGTGACTCAAAGAGCCATGTATATGGGGTGGTGATATCTTCTTGGAGGAAAGGATGGTTGCTGAAGGGCTAGGTAAGGAGGAGTTGTGTGCTGTGGCAGCTGCTCAGGGCCCCCAGATGGTGGATGTGTCCTAGCCCAGGCAGATATCAGGGTTATGGATTCCAGGCCTGTGGTGAGAATGACTGTTGGAGCCCCAGGCTGAGGGACACAGTGTACAATGCAGGTGCTACGTGCTGTGGATGGGAGTGAGGTAAGAAGCAAAGGTGTTTGTTTCAACCTTGGGGCAAAGGACAAGGCAGCCTCTGCTGGACTGTGGAGACACCAGGTGGCGCTCTTGTCATGCGCATTTCGACAGCCCTTGGGCCGGGCCCAGAGTGTTGAGCGCGGGAGCCCAAACCACAGCCTGGGGTGCCCCACGGGGGCCGGGGCGAGGGAGCGTTGTGAGGGATTCTGGGAGCACATTGGGTAAATGGCGGAGAAGAAGTCACGCGAGGCTGCGTTCCCCCAACCCCAGCGCCGATACTACTGCCTCAGCGCCTGGCTTTCGCGGTGCCAGAGCCCTGTTATCTCAGCCAGGGCCAAGGAAGCCAGGCGGCCTCTGAGGGATTAAGTATTCTGCTGAGCCAGGCATATTCCCTGGGCCTGAAAAGCTGTTCTTGGAGAAATCTGGGCCCTGCCAGGCCAGGGTCTGGCTGGAACTTTGATCATGCGTGTTGTAGGTGTACTTGGCCTTGAAACCTGTTTGTGGCCCCAAGGAAGGCATCCCCCACCCCAATCCTGCTTCTGAATCCAGAGCAGGCTTCACGTGCATCTGTGGACGTGGCGCACATGTGTGTGCACGCCGTGTACGTGCGCTTCTGCTGAATGTGCATGCACGCCGCCAAACCCACCCACCCCTGCTTGCAATAGGAGACCCTGGCCAGGCCCAGGTGCAGGGCTGTTTTTTGTCTCTCAAACCCCAGCTTGTTTTCAAATCCCACACAAAGACAGCTGCATTGAAAAAGTCCTAACACAAACTCCAGCTCCATGAGCCCCCGTGGCCCGCATACCAGGGAAATGTCCCGCCATGCCTGCGGTTAAAACCGCTGTGAGCTGCGGCCGGAGGCCTGGGGGATGAGGTCATCTCTCCAGCTTCCTCCCTCTCTGTGAGGCTCCCTGGCCCCGCAGGGGCGACCCACCTCCCTGCAGCTGGACCCTTCCCGGCCCGCCCTGGCTTTCTGCAACTCTCTTGGCAGGCCTCAGTTTCCCAGGGGCAAAATGAGATCCTGTGGCCTCTCTGAGTCCTTGAGACAGCCCTCGGTGGGTCCCACTTTCATGTGGAACAAGGTCAGCTCCCTAGGTCCCAGACCCTCGTTCACACTCGGCAGGGCCTCACATGTACTCGAATTCATTTTCACACCCTTTCCTGCCAGTGGAGACTTATTGGCTCTAAATTCAGCGCCTAGCCTCATGTCTTTGTGCTGTATCTGGGCTTTGCCTTGGTTTATTTAGTTGGTTTTCACGGCCTATCTGTTGTAGAGTGTGTTTCTATCTCTTAATCTGCTGCTGCCTGGAGTTGTAGCTGGTGTCTTTTTTTTTTTTTTTTTTTTTTTTTTTTTTTTTTGACTAAGACATAGCTCAGGTTGTACCCGGTGCAATGTTGGTGCTTGTACTACGTTTGGCCATGTGTCACACTGCCTGGTCTGGTGTCCTGTCTGGAATCTCTTGTGGGGGTGGGGTGGGCATTAATACCACACCAGCCACTGGCTGCACTCATGGAAGCCAGTGTGTTCCCTCTGACCCTGTCCCTGAAGACTGCAGGTTTGCAGCCAAGGGAAGGAGACTCCTGCAGGTTGAGTCACTGCTGCCCAAGGTCAGGAGACCAGCAGGCAGCTTGAGCTTTCCACTGACAAACCCAAGGTTGCCTCTCTGTGAGGCCCCTGCTTTCTGCTTGGAGAGGTCTGGTTCTTGCAGCTCTTTAGGGGTGCCATCCAGCTAACCATGTATCCTGTAGTGTTACCGGCTCTCTCCTGGGTTCCTGGGTCCTCTGGTGAGACGTTCTGTCCCTCTCAGGACAAGAGCTTACTATTCCTGTGTCCTCAGCACACCAGGTTCCTACTGTCCTAGTTTATAGTTTTCTACTTTAGAAGATAACGCCACCCCATGCACGCAAGATGCCTACCTCTTTGGTTGACTTGTTTTCTCCTGCATTCATTGAAGCAGAGAATATCTATGAAGCTTCAACTGTGTTTCAGGCTTTGGGCTGATGGGACAGAGGCTATAGATTCACACCCTGAACTTACACCGCAGGGCCCTGTGGACACGGAGGCCAGTCCCCATGGCCATTTGCAGTGAGCCCCTAGGGCTGATGTTGGGGCTAAGTGAATGAACAGACATGGAGTTAGCTCTGTGTGCAGCCCCTAGGGTATCCAGAGCTCAGGAGGCTTGGGGGTATCTCCAGGGAGACAGCTACTCTGTGGTTTGGTCTAAGTGGGGGGATGTGGCCTCTAGTCTCAGGGGTGACCTAGGTGAATGGATGGGGCTGGGCTGTTTATAGGGCCCACAAGGCCTCAGAGTTGTGCAAGGAAGTCACACTGGCTGGGCTCAGAGCTCATGTGTCCTGCTAGATTTCTAGAAATGCCTGCCATGTTGAGCTGCAACAAAGCTTCTTGCCTCCTAGCTGCCCTTTCTGTGGAGCTGGATCCTCCTTCCCAGAGTCTTTCGAGTGTTATTATGGTGCCCACAAGCAGGGGCAGGAACGGTGGAAAGCTTTCCTAGTATCTTTTCTCTTTCAGCTGCTAGAAAATGTAGGGCTTGCCTGCGGCGCTGAGACCCCGCCTATCTGCCTGCTAGGAGCCCAAGAAGGACATGGCAGCACATAGTCTGCAGGCTTGTGGATTCTAATTTTTTGTTTCCAAACCAGGATAGAGACTGTGTGGCCCTTGAAGCCTACAGCAAGTACTTCATGGCCTCTGAGAAAGTGGCCAAGCCCCACCCTGTTCAGCAGGAGAATTTGCAGAGTAATACTTTATCATTTTTCGTTGTTTTGAGACAGTGTCTTGTGTAGTCCAGACTGGCTACAAAGTCGGAGATCCACCCACCTCTGCCTCCTGAACACTAAGATTAAAGGCATGTGCAACCAGGCCTAGCGACTTTGAGTGGTCTTGAACTCCTAATCCTCCGGGTTTCAAATGAAGCATGTGCGTTTAAATGGTACTTAGACTGCCATGTCCTAACCACATGGGCGTGCTGCACTGTCCCACATTGGCCTGGTCTTTGTGGCTTAGGATGGTTTGTGGTCTGTTTGGTTTCACAGTGTCTTTCTTCTGTGTTCCCATGTTGACACACAGTTGTTCCTAGTTCATACCACTTTGGATGACTCTACCTGAGGCCTCTACTTAGTTTTCTCAATCCCATCTATGTCACTGTTTTTTCTCTCTATAAGCACATCATGCTGGGTTTTTCCAAGTCACTGAGACTGTGTCCCTTGTCTTTAGAAAGCCAGCATATGCCCCTAAGAGAAGACCTTCTCCTTTGTAACTGGCATGGTTGGCTTTAGTGGTCAACTCAACACAACCTAAGGTCACCTGGAAAGAGAGGGACTGCCTGCATTGGGCTGAGCTGTAGGCGTATCTGTGGGTGATTGACTTAAGAACTGATGTGGGAAGACCCAGCCCACTGTGGATGGCACCAAGAGGCAGGGCGAAATAGAACTGAGCACAAGCAAGTGAGCAAGTGAGCATGCGTGCATTCATTTCTCTCCGATCTTGACCGTGGATGTGAAGTGACTAGCTGTTTAAAGTTCCTGCCTTGACTTCCCCATGATGACAGACTGTAACTTGGAATTGTAAGCTAAAATTGGCCCTTTCTCTTCCTCTCCTAACTTGCTTTTTTTCCCTCCAGGATATTTTGTCAAAGCAACAGGAATGAAACTATGTTGTGTGGGACACACGTCCTAGGAATGGGACACACGTCCTAGGAAGGGGACACACGTCCTAGGAGTGGAACACATGTCCCAGGAGGTCAAATGAGGAGCTTGGGTGGAAATGGCAGGGCAGGTTATCTCTGCCACAGTGTATACAATTTAAGGGCCATGAATTCTAGGTCACCAGGTTTATGGGGTTTAAACTGGCCACCACCCTGCCCTGTTTCCTTTGTGTAAGGCCTGTACTCTGTAAGAGCAGGAAGGCCAGCATCCTCAGCTGCCACCAGATTTCCTGAACCTCCCAGGCCTTAGTGCGGAGGGTCCTGCAGGACACAGCTCTGGTTTTTGCATTTACTGGGAAGCCAGCACCATGCTGTGTGCAGTGACAAGAATCATCACATATCACATTTGTTCAGAACAAGTTAGAATCATGAGAATCCTGGGACAGGAGGGAGAGGCAAGTAAGAGACTGTGGGAACCTTCTGGAAGGACACACAACCTATTCCCTACTGTGTAGCAGGTGAGAATCAGTTGGAGGCTCCTAGGCAGGATCAGGAATGCAATCAGGGCTGGCCTTCTGGAGGCTCTGTAGGTGGAAAGCCATGACCTACCTGGGTTTGAAGGGCCTGTTCTCCATTGCTCTTCCTTCAGGGCTCATCTCCACACGCTTTTCAGGTGACTCTGAGCCAAAAGGAAAAGAGAAGAGGCCTTGGTGTGTGCCTGGCAGCAGGTTCTCATGGCCTCAAGAAGACACTTGGATAGCCAGAGTTTCCCCATCCCCATCCCTGCCCTGAGTGCTGACCACTTGTCTCCAGGGCATTTAGTGACTCAAGTTCCACAGCCGATGATGCATGTGTGGGCCTGTCCCCACACTTCGGAGTTGCTGAGTCTTAGTGACAAGGCCCAGGCTCTGTACAGGAACCTGGGGAGAGGCCCATGTTGTACCAGCTCCTATTGTCCCCTTGTGGGCCTGTGGTCAGTGCTGCCCCTTGCCATCTGTATCTTGTCATGGGGACTGAACCAGTGGGTGGGGACCTCCCTCTCCCCCATTTTACAGTTCTGTCTTAGTCCTCAGATCTATCTTCCTGGGAGCTTGCCATCCCAATGCCACTCTGGGGCCCCAAAGATCATTCTCCTGGTCAGGGAAACTGCAAGGGGTGACTGGGACAGCACCAAGTTACCACCATCTGTGTGTGTGTGTGTGTGTGTGTGTGTGTGTGTGTACACGTGTGTATGTGTGTACGTGCGTGCACACGCTCATGGCTTCCCAGCCCCCTCCCAGGGCCTCCAGGTATCTGGGTGGTCTTACACTCCCCTCCCTTCCTCCCTCTCCTCACCCCCTACTCTCCCTGCCTCTTTTCTGACAATTGTGCTGACTCAGCTTCAGGTTGGTAAGGAACGATAAATCCGCCTGGGTGGCCAAGTGTGGGGTGCCCAGTGGTCCTTTAGGGTCTTGGCTTACGATGGGGTTACATGGGGCTCCCGTGTCAGTAGGAAAGGCCTTTCTGTGGCAGGAGCCTCCTGACCTTCTAACGGAAGACAACTGTTCAGGAACCAAGGACCCTAAAGCAGGCAGGGTCCTATTCACAGACTCCAGAAAGTAGGGGTGTGTGTGTCGGGGGTGTCCCTAGGCACTCTGTTTTCTGTAGCCTGGGTCTGGCTGGGGCACAAGGAGGCCTCTGCTCCGTAGAGCAGTGGGTTCTCTTCTCTGTTTTCTCCACCATCCTTCCTTTACGCCCAGGACAAAAGTCAGACCTGGGGTAGGAGCTGCCTGCTGGGGGGTGGTTCCCCACTCAGGTTTAGTAGGATTAGAGTGTGCCGGCCAGGGACAGGTGTTTCCTTTATGCTCTGCCTGAGGCTGGAAAGAGCCTCCTCAGTGAGTGCTGCATGCGGTGGGGGTCTCTAGTTCAGAGTAGCTGGGGGGTGGCAGGGTTTTGTTAGGCCCTTGTTTTTACATCTGACCCTGGCCAGCTGGAGCGCCTCGCTTTAAGTGCAGGCTAACAGCTGACATAATATAGTGGGGTGGGCTGAGCAGGCCGCCCTGGTACCCCCTCTCCAGTGGGGCGCCCAGGGACTGCTTGGGGGCTGTGTTGGGGGTGAGAGGATGAGCCGCAGGGCCTCATGGCTGAGGGGCACAGCTCGGTGGAGTCCACCAGCTGTCTGCCTGGATGAGCAGGCTGCCTGAGTGGCGCAGGCTAGGGCCCTGAGTGTCCCCCAGGGCATCACACTCAGACGGGCTCCCATCACGTTCTTGGCCTCCCAGGGTCACTCAGAACGAAAACCAGAGGCCCAGGCTGTGTGCTATTGAAGCATGTCATTGTGTGACTTCGCAGGTGGGAGGGAGGGAGGGGGCTGGGGGCAGCCTCTCAGGGTCGAGAGGCACACTTGAGCACCCAGGCCCCCTGGCCCCTTGCTTTTTTGAGCTGACCAGTGAAGGAAGGCTCCAGCAGCAGCTTCCAGTAGACTGTCTGTCTCCTGGTGATGAGGCTGCATGGCGACTGGAGACTCTGGGTGGAGCAAGTGGGGTTTTGGGGCTGGGGGCTGGGGGCTGGGAGCTGGGGCTGGGCTACAGCAGCCTCTTCAATAGCTGTGGGAGGTGCTCTGACCCAGAGGCCATCTCTGTGTGTCTGGACGGCTGGGCTTGAGAAATGGAGTATGTCCTCAAGTACCTTCAGGGTCGTGGCAACCGGGGGCTATGCTCTCCTCCCCCATGTGGGTGATGCTTGGGAAGGCGCATCCTAGCCTCTGATGTCACCGCTTTGTGTTCTCTTGGTTATTTATAACACAGGCTCTTCTCTGAAGATGGGGCTCAAGGGGCTGGGTTGCAGGTGGACCCAGCACTTGTGGTGTGTGAAAGAGGCTAGGGGCGGCAAGTGGTAACAATGGCTTCCACACTTGCTCAGGACTGTTAAATAGGTTGGAAGAAAAGGCAGCCGGGTGCAGCTGGGACGCTCGATTGTGACATGCATGGTCAGGGGTGCACACACCTACACACACACAAAGAAGTGTGGAGGCACGCATGCGCCTGATCTGTGTGCACTGTTCTCACCTGCAAGCAAGTTGGAGTTGCATACAAATGCGACTTGAATGCTCGGCTTGGATCTGGGTCTGTGAGGAGAGGGGCTCCCCTTTGGGGCCCACTCCATTTGCACATTTAATTCAGAAACTGTCAGCATAAGAAGCCTGGACAAGAACAAAAGGTCAAGTGCGGCCTGGGAGTTCCACTCCTGCAGGGGGAGGAGAGCTGGTCAGAGTCCCATGGGGCTCTCTGGGGAACCTGGGGGCTTCTTTATTTCACGTTAAATTTCTTTTTTTCTTTTCCTTCCTTCCTTCATCCCTCTTTCTCTTCCTTCCTTTCTTAACACGGTTCTATCCTTTAGCTCCCTGCGTAGCTGAAATCGATCTAGAACTGGTCCCCTTCCTCAACCTCCTCAGTGCTGGGATTACTGGCCTGCACTGCCGCACTCAGTTTATGTGCTATTGGAGATCAAACCCAGGGCTTCCTACATGCTAGGCAGACTCATTGTCAACTGAGTTGCACCCCCAGTCATCACTTTACATTCTTTGACAGGGCCATGCCTCTTCTTGCTCACGGAGAAGGTTCTATCCCTGCTCATTGCTAAGTATTGCCAACAAAACAGGTCCCTGGACCTAGTGCTTGCTACCAAAGCCTGGAGATGAAACCAGGCCTGACCCACCATCCTCAGACATTTATGAACCCACTCCTGAGCCCCATATCTGAAGAGACTGGCCCCTCGTCCTGGGAATGTGGAGATGTGATAGTACCTCTTTCTCTTAAAGGGACAGGGGCAACAGGCTCTGTAGCTAGCCCCTGCTGAGGGCCAGTGGAGGGCCTGGGGGGGGGGGGGGAAGGGAGCCTCCAGAGGCCTATGAGGGCGAAGAACAGGAAGCATGAGGCCTTCTGGTTTTTCAAAGGCTGTTCCTACCATTTCCTAAGGCCCAGAGACAGTCAAGGAGGTAGTCAGTCAAAGGCTGGAGACTTGAGGCAGCTTGGTGGCATCATGTGAAGTACCCTCTCTGGACCACTGTTTACTCCTAGGTCAGAAAACAATGGGGTGTCCTGCTCCTGGGACATACGTGGATTGTGTTGGGGAACACCAAATGTGAACATTCTCAGCCCAGAGCCAATGGCGACAAGGGCTGCAACATGTGGATGGGTAGTGGCTGCCTAATTCTAGCGAAGTTAGCAGGCAGGGAAGGAGAAGGGTCTGTTGATGGTGTCCTGGGATGGAAGGACCTCAGTTAGGAATCATACTGCTTTGGGCTTTTATCCTGGGGTGTGCTGGCACATAGCACATGCCATATTTAAAGCACACAATTCAATAACTCCTGACACATAAGACCACAGCCAGAGGCAGGAAAAAGCATGTACCTACTTCCCCAAAGCACCCCTGTGTTCTGGGTGTTACCCTGCACCCTCTTGGCCACTCATTTAGGGGGTGCACACTGGTCTGTTGTTTGTTGCTGTAGATGCTTCCATTTTCTAGTTTCCTTTAAATGAACTATTTATAATGCCCTCTTTTTTGTCTGGGTCCTTTGATTCAGTTTCATGCTTTGAGACCGATTATCTAGGTTCATGCTTTTTCGTCACTGAGCAGTATTCCAGTATATGGATGTACCCCAGTGAATACTCCTGTTTCCTTTTTCATGGACCAACACTTACGTGTAGAATGCCTGGATGATATGGTGGGTATTTATCTAGCTATTGAACTGGCCAACTAGGGTTGTACCATTTTACACCCTCTGAGCAGCATTGCGATTTCCAGCAGCTTCATGTTTTGGCGGGTCAGTCCTCTCCACAGTAATGGACCTACTGTGTGTCTTGGGGGAGGTGGAACCACACTGTATTTGAAATTCCATTTCCGAGTGAGTGAAGGGGTTGAATCAATCTCTCTCTCTCTCTCTCTCTCTCTCTCTCTCTCTCTCTCTCTCTCTCTCTCTCTCTCTCTCTGTGTGTGTGTGTGTGTGTGTGTGTCTGTGTGTGTGTCTGTGTCTGTGGGTACAACTTATTTTTGAGACAAAGTCCCTCACTGGACCTGGAGCCCACTGATTTCAACCAGACTGACTAGGCAGCAAGCTCTAGGGATCTCTGTCCCCTGTCCCTCAGTGGTGGTCTTACAGACATGTGCCACCATACCCAGCTCTTTATGTAAGTTCTGGGCATGGAACTTGGTTCCTCATAACTGCAGGCTGGGCTTTGTTGCCTGGGCTACCTTCCCAGCCAGGTGTCATCTTTCTGCAGTTGAATTGGTGAAAGTGCCTTTAGATCCTATTCTAAAATGTCTTCTTATGTACATTGGGCTGTTGTTTTTCTAGAGCCAGGGATGGAACCCAGGACTTCATGCGTGCTAGGCCAGAGCTTCGGCACCGAGCGAGTCCTCAGTCCTGCCTTCCTAGCAGTGAAGATGTCAATGTTCTTTGTGAAGTTACATAGGTCTGGGCTTTGCACATAGCTTCTTCCATCTGTGGCTTCCTTCTCGTTTATTTAACGATGTGATTTTAAAAAAAAAAATGGGGCTGAGAGTGTGGCCCAGAGGTAGAGAACTTGCACAAGATTCCATTCCTAGCAACCCAAGAAAAAGAAAATTTTAATTTTACAAGTCAAATTTATGTCTTCTGTTTTAATTCCTACCTTTTAATTTCATATTTAAGAATCATAT